GGCAGGCTGGTGTGTAGGGGGAAGGTATTGAGGGAAGATAAGCAGGAACCTGATTTGGGAGCGAAAGGAAATGTTCAGAGGCTTATATCATCTTAGGCCAAGTACCTGGTGATTTTAATGACAGCCTGGATTTCCTTCAAGCTTTGGACATGTGCTGATTTTGATGACTTGCCTATTCTAACCTTCCTTAGTCTTTTTGAAAATGTATCTCCTTTGGCTGATAACTCTGTAATTTTTTTCTCTTTACATTAGGGAATAAGAGCTTTGAGGTGCGTGAATGAAAGGGAGGTAGTGGCTAACTCATGTGGGTCAAGGTGGCCTTGGTATTTAATTTTTTATGTCTCACTCTTCTCTACTAGATTGGACCCCTGATCATTTTCTAGGGCCTGGAGAGTGTATGTATATTCTGTCTTGTGATCTGGTGAGCTACTAGGAATTTTAATTCTAACCACAGAGGTTGAACTTGGGCTATTTTGATTGGGTTCTCTTATCTTCGGAAGCAGTGCTATAAGGAGGTCCAGACACCCTCCGCAGCCTCACCTTCATAAGGGCCAAAACATAAGAGCCACTAACTGTGGTTTAATTCTTTTGATATTTATTGAGCATTCTCTCTGCACCTAGCATGGTGGTAGACACTAGGATTAGAGGTGACTCACCACCACCCTTAAAGAATTCAGTCTAGTAGGAGAGCAAGTAAGAAAATCAGTCATTTTGACGCAGTGTGATGCACAGGGTGTTGTGGAAGTTTAAAGAGGGTGCAGGGGAGGGAGAACCAACCTTTGGTTCAAGGCATGTTGAGATATTTCACTTGAGCTCAATCTTGGAAGACCTTAGAAGTTGGTGGGGGTTGTGGTGGGTGGTCAGACTTGAGCAAAAGTACGAAGGCAAGAGAAAACATGATGCAGTGGGGAGCTATGGGAAGGAAGGTCTGTAGGACTTCAGAGAAGGGTGTGTATATATGAAGATGTGATAGGAGATGAGACTAGAGCCTTATAAAGGGACCATATTGTGAATGACCTTTTCTACTTTCCCAAATAAAATGGATTATCAAATAGAAGTGTTTTCATTCATCCAGTGTTAGGTGTTTAGTGTTTCTCTTACTGTTGTCTCTTGAGCAACTGAGTTTTATCTTATTTTTTTTCTTTGATTTGTTCTTTTTATGATAACTGAATTTGGAGCCCTCTTTCATTTTATGCATTAAGTGGCTCCACTTTGAATACCATCTAGTCAAACCCTACACTCAGGCATTGTGGAGTGGATGATACATAGTTTTTAAGGCAGCTTGGAAGGAGGAGGATTTAAATGACCTTCAAAGACTAATGTCAGGCCCCCATGTCAGTGTCACTGCATTTCATGCATGCATGGAGAGTGGGAAAGGAAACTTAATTATGGAGGAGGGGAATTGTAACCCTGCTGGAATGAGTAGTTGAACATCCTGGGCCCGTCCCTTAGTCTCAAAAAAGACTTCTTACATTTGCTGCCAAAGAGGTCATAAGGAGAGCTCACATAAATACTATCCTCCCTCTTGGGTGTGTGAGCCAGTCTTTCTTTTGCTTCCACAAGTGCAGAATAGGTTCACCAAATAATATTCTGATCTCCATTGAACAGAATTTGGCACCTTACTGTCCTCCAGAAAATCAACCCCTTTAAATCATGGAACATGGCAATTTTAGGTCAGCAGGCATTTAAAGATACTTTTTTAATTTTTAAGGCTGGCCTAATAAGATATATTTTGTACAAAAATACAAGTTTATCAAGATGAGACTTGAATCATTTAAATTTTGAAGCGGGCCCGGACAGGAGTGGCTCAGCCATTGAGCATTTACTTAGGATCCAGGAGATCGCGGTTCGATTCCCAGGCCGCGCACATGCCCAAGGTTGTGGACTTGATCCCCAGTTGGGGGCATGCAGGAGGCCGCCGATCAATGACTCTCTCATCATGGATGTTTCTATCTCTCTTTCTCCCTCTCCCTTCCTTTCTCTGAAATCAATAAAGATATATATTTTTTAAAAAGTATTTAAATTTTGAAGGGGCCTTAGTTTTAGTTGCTGGTGCACCTTTTGTGAAATTCTTGTTGTCTTTTAATGGTACTGTCCTTTAGGAGGTTGGCGATCATCAGATATTAGGCTCCATTTCTTCTAACCTTTGGGAACTGTTCAGAAACCATTACACTGTTTGGGATGAGGGAAGCCACAGTGACCCATGTCACTATCCTTTCAGATTATAAAATAGCTTTCCATAATTAGCCTGGATGACAGTAGAAGCCAGTCTTATGCAGTCAGGAACTCCTCCAACATAGTCATCCTCCTTCATTTCATTAATTTGTTTTGGGAAATGGTATCAGTGAGGCAGAGCTGTACCTTTGGCTCCTCAGTACAGGGTCTGAACAGGAAAATCTATTTCCGTGAAACCCTTGAGAGTTGCTGAAAATACATGCTACTTCTTAGTACTTTAAATAGAACTTTTTTATTTTGGAGGGAAAATGCTTTACAAACGCCCCAGTTGTTGCCTGTATAACATATGTATTCATACAGTTCTTGCTATTTCTAAAGTTTGGAAAGAGAGTTTTATAAATCTAAATAAATTTTAATTTTCCTAAATCATAGGAAAATTATCATATCTTAACATTCATTGTTAAGATTTTCTTAGGAGGTAGAAAAACAAAGCTTAATCTTAATTTCTCATCTGTGTAAGCCTTTCCCTTCATTTTAATAAATGTTCTTCAGTGCCCAGAGACCACGGCAGACCCCATTTTCAGAGCTGTTCCTAGAGATTTAGCTATGCAATTTATTTATCCTTTATCATCAAGAAAGAGTAAAAACCAAAGAACTAGATGGCTGCTGAGGGAAAATGTAACAGCAAATTTGAGGGGCTAGAGACCAGAGAAAAAGAAGAATGCTTGGGACTGGTTTCAGGGAGCTCTGATTGGTAGTAACAGAAGGGAAATAGGTAATGGAAAATTTAGGCCACCATACAAAAGACATGCTTCTAACAAATTTTGGCTTGTAATTGTCTTTCTAAGTAAAGCCTTTGTGATGATTGGAATGCCACAGAATTCATCTACTTGCATTTTGTACCAGGGAGGCGTTAGAATTTAAAACAGACCCTTTAACATGATTTATAGCTGACAAGAAATACCAGTTCAGTTAGGGTAGGTGGTATTTAATTACCCCTCTTTGTGGGGGTGGGGCTGTTCCCACCAAAATTGTTTGTGGGTAAAATCACTACAGAGATCCACAAAGTACAGTTTTATATATATATAAAGCTGGATCTTTGTATATATATAAAAAGAGACATTAGTTTCTTGCATTTTGCTAATGTCAAAGGTTAATTTAAAATATTAATGCTGAAAAGATTAATTTAAGATATTAAATCTAGGCAAGAATACTTGTACATATTGTAATTACTTCTTTTTTACAATTATAGTAATTGGATTATATTTAATGACCTATTTATATTTAATAACTAAAAAAGACTTATCTTTTTAGTATTCCCCATATACAGAAAGAGATGGGGAAAACTCACTTCTGATATAATTATCTTTACTTGGGCTAAAAAGGAAAAACAACTGTCCTTTTTAGAAGAATGGTCAGAAAAATATTATTTTAAAGTATACATATACAGTTTAGGAATTACCCATAGGAATGTATTTTGGTTCATTGTAAAAGAAGATGAAAGGTTAGCTGCTTAAAAAAAAAAAAAAGTCCCCAATGACAAGATTCGATGAGCTGAACAAAACACAGAAAATAAAACTTAAAGTGATTCTCAGGGACCCTGTAGATAAAAGTAACCCGTTAGAAGTGACGGGACCCCAAATGCCTAGCTGTTTGAAAATAGGAGTTTGTTTGAAAAGCATCTGAACATGTTATCTGAGGCTGGCACTTTAAATGAGCCAGTGTTTATGTTGTTTAAAGTGAAAGTTGTGAAGCCTTTGAGCAGCTGGCTAAAATTGGGTGTAGAGAGGGAGAGAGCAGTGTGTTATCCTCATTAACACCATTTCAGTTCTAGGGTAATATGTCAGGAAGGCTTTCTTGTGTTAGCCTGCAGTCTTTTTTTCTAAGGGGAAGAAACTAGTCTGGGGTGGCACTTATATATCAAAATGAGAAATATGGGCATATTTGTGTAACTTCTTGGTTTGGGTGTTTTGTGAGATTAAGTGTTGTGTCATGGAAAGAGCGTGAACTTTGGACACAGATGGGCCTGGTTTTAAAATCTTTGTGACTTTGATAAAGTTACAGAACCACTCTTAGTTTTAGTTCTCATCTGTAAAATCAGGGTGCTACTACTTAACCTTGAAGAAGTGTTTTGCAGATTAGAGATATTCAAGAAAATGTGAATAAATACCTGGCACTTTTTAGAAATTCAACAAATATTTATTGAGCAGACACTGTTGAATACAAAGAAGTTTTAAGAATTCCCCCCTTGGCTCCAGATAGCTGTTGTTATGACTACTACTTCTGTTAGGTTTAAAGATATTTTGTTTCTCAGTTCCCATACTCAGAGTTGTATACTTAAAAAATGTGTGCTACAAAATAGAATGTAGTAACTGTCGTTAAAAAAAAAGGTTCAGCATACCTCTTTGGAACTTTTGGAGAGGGAGAAATGACTTCAGACTAGAAGAGTCAAGAAAGGTTTCTTAGAAGTGGTAACATTTGCCTTGGCCTTTAAGGTGAAAGGATTTTTTTTAAAAGAAATGTCACAGCCCTAGCTGGTTTGGCTTAGTGGTTAGAGCATCAGCCTGTGGACTGAAGGGTCCCGGGTTTGATTCTGGCCAAGGGCAGGTACCTCGGTTGCAGCCTCAGTCCCTGGCCTGACCCCGGTAGGGGTGCATGCAGGAGGCAGCCAATCTATGTGTTTCTCTCACATCGATGTTCCTCTCTCTCTCTCTCCACTCCACCCTCCCTTCTACTCTCTCTTAGAAGCAATGGAAAAAATATCCTCAGGTGAGGATTAAAAAAAGAAAGTAAGAAAAAGAAAAAAGAGAAATGCCACAATCCAGATAATAGTCCCTTTGAGACTATTTTACTTTCAAAGTACCTAAAGTGAAAATACTGAATTGACTCTTGACTGTGATTTTGGAACACTGTCATCCTTTGTCTTAATCCTTAAAATTGGCATAATATAAGCAGAGGCCATCCATTTCTTCCTCAGCATTTGTTTCCACACTCCTGGAGAGCCTATCTCAGAATGTAAGAGGCCTACCTACTACTAGATCTCCGCTGAAACCAAAGAAAAGAGACCAATTAGAAGAGCCCTTTGTGTAATGCTCAGTGCTGTTTAATTTGACCTGCTCTCCCTAGATTGTTTCATTACCATTAGGAGGTAAGTCTAAACAAACTCAGCATTCCTTTGAATTAGTAATAATGAGAGCTGTCAGTTACTGAGTACCTACTGGGTGCTAGACACCCCTCTAGAAGGCTTACACATGTTATCTCATTTTACCTTTAGAATCATTCTATGAGGTAGGTTTATTTCCCCCATTTTACAGATGAGGCTCAGAGGTTAAGCAGCCTGAAGTCATACAACTGTGGCTCAGGGCACCCTTGATTCCCTTGACTGAACATGTCTCTGGGTTCACCATTGATTTTAATTTTTTTTTAAATATATTTTTATTGATTCGGAGAGAGGAAGGGAGATGGAGATAGAAACATCAATGATGAGAGACAGTTATTGATCGGCTGCCTCCTGCATGCCCCTTACTGGGGATCCAGCCAGCAATGCAGACATGTACCTTGACTGGAGCCGACCCATGACCTCGTGGTTCATGGGTTGACTCTCAACCACTGAACCACGCTGGCCAGGCGCACCATTGATTTTTTAAATGTGGTTAACACCTATAGGAATATTAACTTTAAAAAAGAAAAGAGGTCCAGCTGGGCATGGCTCAGTGGTTGAGCATCAACTTAGAATCGAGGAGATCACGGTTCGATTCCTGGTCAGGGCACATGCCTGGGTTGTGACTCTCTCATCATTGATGTTTCTGTATCTCTATCCCTCTCCTTTCCTCTCTCTGAAATCAATAAAGATATATTTTAAAAAAAAAAAAAAAAAGACACCTACTTTTTCCTGTTATTTATTTTTTTTAAAAACTTTTTAATTGATTGATTTTAGAGAGAGAAAGGAAGGTGGGGGTAGAGAGAGAGAGAGAGGAAACACCAATTTGTTGTTCCACTTATTTATATATTCATTGGTTGATTCTTGTATGTGCCCTGACTGGAGATGGAACCCACAACTTTGGCATATTGGATGATGCTCTAACCAACTGAGCTACCTGGCCAGAGTTCCTATTATTTCTTCTAAAAGTATTCATGATAAACACTTATTGAAGATAAATTGAAATTAATCTGACTTTAAGAATTTTACAGTACCTCTTTATGATTGGGGGCCTTGCAAAACTACAGTGGAAATCAATCCTGACTTGAATAGGAAACATGGGGCTGTTATCGCTTGTATAAGGAAAATAAAGGAGGAGAGAGCCCTGTGATTACCCTGGCTTTCTGTCCAAATGTTTGTTCTAACCATGGAGCAGGGTGGGAGATCTCAAGCAGAGTATGTTGGTCTTTCTGAACTGAAGAGGCAGAGATTATAATTCAGGGGAGGTTGAGGCATCTAAAAGCTGTGAGGTGGAGTTCTGGAAAGGTGGAGCTATGCAGAAAAAAACTGCTCTAGGAATCCCCTCAGGGTCCCCTTGAGTGTTTGCTGACCTCGCACATGCCTGGGGTCAAACTCCAGGAGGTTGGGGAAAGATGACAGGGAAGCTATGAGCTAACTGGTTCCCAGAGCAGGGGGAAGTGTTGGAGTTCCTACCAGCCAGAGTGAAGAGCTCTTGTTGCTCACTAGGAGTGGCCACTAGAGATGGTAAAAGGTCTACATCTTTGTACTGGGGTTAAAATAGTCATAGAGTAAAGGCTACTCTATACACACCCTAACAAAGCATAAAAACAAGCCCTTAGAGGTACCAAACTGAATGAAAAGTAACTTAACTGCCTACCAGAACAAAGTTTAACACTTTTATAATGAAGATAACAATACTGAATACTCAATATTGTAAAATTACAATGTCCAGCATCCAATCAAAAGTTACCAAACTCGCCCTGGCTAGTGTGGCTCAGTTGGTTTGGTGTCCTCCCATGCACCTAAAGGTTGCCTGTTTGATTCCTGGTCAGGACACATGCCCATTTGCAGGCTTGATGCCCAGTAGGGGGGTTCAGGAAGCAGCTGATGGATGTTCTGCTCACATCAGTGTTTCTCTCTCTTTCTTCCTCTCCCTTCCTTTCTCTCTAAAAATCAATTAAAAATCTTAAAAAAAAAAAAAAAAGTTACCAGACTTGCCAGGAAAATGTGACCCATAACTAGAAGAAAAATCAGTCTGTAAAAACACTCAGAAATGACAGACATGATGGAATTAGGAGACAAGGATATTAAAATAGCTGTTATAACTATAAAGGAAAACATGAAAATATTAGTTAGGAGGTGGATATTTTAGCCTTTCAAATAAATACTGGGCCCTGGCCAGTGTGGTTCAGTTGATTGGGTGTCCTTCCATGCACTGAAAGGAACACTGATTCGACTCCCAATCAGGATACATGCCCAGGTTTCAGGCTCGATCTCCAGTAGGGGGCTTGCAGGAGGCAGCCCGTCGATGTTTCTCACATCAGTGTTTCTCTTTCCCTCTCCCTTCCTCTCTCTAAAATCAATAAAAACATTAAAAAAAAAAAATACTGGAGTATGGTTCATCTCTCTCTATTTCTGTTATTTTTGTTCTTCCCATGGTGGTGTTTGGTAAAATTTGAATATTTTAAGTCAGAGTTATAGAATCAGCATGTTAGGGTTGGAGAGGACTTTTAAAGATTATCTTATCCACCCTCTCATATTATAGAAAAAGAAATATTATATTTCATTGATTTTGAGATGTACATCGTCTACATTTTAACATCTCTTAAATCATGATGTATCTTAACAGCCAGTGGTATCTTAGATTTGATAAAATACAGTAAAAGCCCATTAGAAGTGTGACTTTTCCATAAATTCTTAGTGGTAGAGTTCAAGGCTTCTACTTATATTACCCCCACCTGGAAAACCTTCCCCTCTTTATTTTTTACATCCAAATCCTGCCCAGATCAGATCTTTATTCCAGGAAATCTTCTCTGTCCCTTCAGTTCACAGTGATTTTCATCCTTCCTATTGTCATCATTGACTACATCATTTATTTGATAACTGAACTATTTATTTGCTATGTTGTTACTTTGGTTTTGTCTGTCTCCTCAATTATAAGCTCTTGGAGTCAAGGGAGGGATTTTATACTTCTTTGTGTCTTTTAATATCTACTTGATAAATATTCATTGATAAGAGTATTATAATTAGTAATTAACCATTAATATAGCCTGAAGCTTATTAAAGTTGTTTAATGGTTAAGAGAACCACATATAAAACATTTAGAACAGTGCCTGACCCATAGTTAAATGCTAGGTAGATGTAGAACTAGTACTTCCACCATCGTTATCACCACCACAACTATAATACATACATTATTTCATTTTTCTTCACAACTTTACAAACTAGGAATCATTAGACTCATTTAACAGTTTAGGCAACAGACCGAGAGATTTGACTGCTTGCCAAGGTCCCAAAGCTAAAATTTGCCATTAGTGGGTTAAAACCCACACCTCTTCTCTTAATGTCCTTGTTCTTGCTGCTCTGTGCCACTGCTTATTAGGTTATGAGGGCTTTGGTAACAGCCTGCTAAACGGAGGGTAGAAAGGAAAGAATGGGTACTTACTTTCCCCTCTGCTCAAGGACTTCTCCTTGTAAATCCCATGTATTGAGTGGTGAATGCACCTTGTGAGAGGAAGTTGACGTACAGCTACCCTTTGCTGCGGACTCTTAGTTGCTGGCAGCTTGGCCTTTAGTGACAGATGAGTGTGTGACACTTTTTAAGGAATGAATTCTTGTTACAGGTGGCAGAATAGAATAGTTGATATGGAATTACATGTCCGTTTGCTCCATAATTCCACTCCCTAGTGTTCAGATGTAATTGTGGTTGCTAGATCTCTCTCCTCACTTAAGTTGGTGTATTATCAGTCACATCCAGGACTGCTGCTTCTGCCTGCTCCATGACCACATGACGGTGTGTTTGTATATTGCCCTGAGTTGTCAGCAAAACATTTTGCTGAATTTCCTTTTTTGTTGTTGCTCTGCAACCTTTTTTTCCCTGGCCTTTCTCAGTTGTGTAAAGTCAGTTTCTCTTTTGGCCTTTCCATCCCAGAGAGGGAGCAGTTACTGCAGAGAAGCTTGAAATATGAAGTGAGGCATCGTAGAGATTAAAGTGACAGCTGGCAGGATGAAATGAGACTTACTTGGTGCCTGGTGTGCGATTTGGCTCTGATTATCTTCTTCCTCCCTCGTTTTCAAACCTGCCTCTATACTCACTGCTCCTTGCAGGAACCAGGAGAGAAAGGTTACAGCCTAGCCCCATCCTCTCTGTCTCTGGGTAAGGTAGTAAATTGGGATTAGACACTCTTCCATAAAAACCAACTGTGTGTTTCCCATATGGTAGCACATGCCCAGGTTTGGCTTCCTCTCAGGTACTTGGAAAAGAATGCATTTTGTATCCTCTTATCTCAAATTTTTGAGCACCAACAACTGGAGATCACTCTCTTCTGTCATTGGCAATAAATAAGAAAGGAAGCTCTTAAAACTGAAGTCTATATTGGGATCTATTATCACAGTATTTCAACTTATTGACATATTTCTAGTAATCTTATGAACTGATTTGTTGAGGTTTGATACTTTTGTGTGTTGGTATTTGTTTTTCAGAGCAGCTTAGTTGTTTTTCATGTTAAACTCCTCTGTGAATATAGTGCTCAATTGATGATTATAGCTCAAAGAAATCTGGTACTTGAGTACTTGCAAATGTTAGGAGTAAGATTTTTCCATTTGTGAATAAAATAATTTGTAATTTATATTTACCTAATCAGAGTAAAAGCAAGCATATTTATTTATTTATTTTAAATGTATATTTATTGATTCCAGAGAGAGGAAGGGAGAGGGAGAGAGAGAAACATCAGTGATGAGAGAGTCATTGATCGGCTGCCTCCTGCATGCCGCTGACTGGGGATCGAGTCCGCAACCCGGGCATGAATCCTGACCGGGAAGTGAACCGCAGTCTCCTGGATCTAGGTCAGTGCTCCACCGCTAAGCCACGCCTGGCCGGACAAAGTAAACCCATGTAGATGGGTAGTTTGGACTATTTCAGACTATTCCATTTTGGTGAATTGGGTATTGCTAGAAATTGGAATTAAACTGGGAAAGTAAAGTGAACT